TAATTAATTAATTAATCAAATATATATATATATATTTGTTGTAATTTTTGAAACAAATTTTGCAGTTATTTGTGTATAGTTTCTTAAAACTTACATTACAACTAATAACATTTTTTAAGCAAATTAAAATAGTTTAAAGGAATAGAGAAAGGTTAGAATAGTTTTAATTGTTGAAAATTATTCAAAATTTACGAAATAAACTGACCTCCAAAAATATATAAAACCAGACATGAGTAAGAGAATAAAAATCACTGATCCACTAAGTAAATAAACATAAAATGGATATCCTTCTGGGCATTTCGAGTGATCCCAACCACATACTGGTGAATCTTTAGGTGGACTGCCACCAACCCAATGAAACTCAGCAACTTGCTTCAATTCATTCGATGCCCCCGAATAATATGCAACTTCCTGTAAATATAGTAAAATTTCTTTTTTACAGCAGATCGTCAAAAATGAAAATAAATAAGAAAAGTTAAGCAACCTTAAACATTTCCAATACTACTTTAATATTATTGATACAAGTATTTCAATTATACCATTTCATATACCAGTTATATGCGATATTCTGAAGTAATTTAATATCCTTACCTTTACAGCTACTATTAAAGAAAGAATACTAAAATGACACATAAGTCCTATGTATTATCTCGTAACTTTCAGTTATAGTCATTTTCAATGATATATTTTGATGACAGAAAAGATATTCTCCCAACCTTATTTATTACTACTACAAAATAATAACGAGAATTAGTAGAAATGAAATTTAAAAATTTAATCAAATACTTGTTCAGAATATAAGATTTTTAGCTAAAAAAGAATAAGATATACAATTTCAAAATATGCTTCAATTCAGTCTGGAATTTGCGACTAAAAAAAGGCCAAAAAACTTACAACAAACTTATCCTGCTGTGGATCCAAGTCAAGAAGTGAGTAATCGGAATACCGATCACCATTTTCATCTATTGATACATTACCCGTAATACCTATTTAAATAACTGAAGTTAAGATTTATGCACAAATACTAATTTTAGATAACTTTTACAATCTAATAAACTAGTTCAAAGTTCACCCCAAGCTTCGAATAGTAAACTAATAAAGTATCAAACAAAATCAGTTGTTTATTCCATTATTAATATGATTAATTCCACTTTACTAAATGAATTCGAATTGCACAAATAAATCATTAAGTTAATAAATGGTAAAAATTTAATTTAACTTTATCTTACCTATGAAAGTTCGACTCCACATTTTACTCGTTATATTATGACCATTTCTAGGATCCAATCCTTCAGAGAGTGTTTCATTAAGCGCTATTGCATATAACAAAACTGCATCATAAAATGCACTAATAAAGTTATTCATCTGAAAAAATTTGCATACCATTATTTTATATATTTTGCTATATTAATTACTAGTACAAATAAATTTATATCAGAACAAACAATTAATAATCAGCATTCTATTTATGATGATACAAGATGCTATTTATCTTAATATGAGTCTATTTAATCAAGTACGAGAAATGTTAACATCAGCTGATTAGGCATTTTGTGGTTAAAATTAAAAAAAGTAATACCTCATATTCTTTACCCGTTTTAGCTGAATAATTATATTTTTTCTCGGCACGTTCTTTCACACGTAATTCAAAATTTTTATATTCATCTAAATCACTACGTCTTAATGAAATTGTTTTTAGTGCCTGATAAGCCTTTTTAGCTTTTTCATTTTCTGCTGAAGAAGTATCGTTCAAACGTAACCACGGCCTTTCTGCATGTGATCTGAAGTACTTAAAGTAAGATGTTTTTTCTTCTTCATATAACTACAAAATTGATCTAATGTGATAACAATATTTGACAAAACATGCACCATTCGAAGTAAAGACACTTTTTAATAAATTTCTCAAGAAGTTTAAATTGAAATTTTCCACACTCTAAAGTGTTTCGATTTTAGCATAAAACATTTTTTCGATGCAAATTTCTGACTTCAAATATATGCGTAAGAAAGCATTTACTTCTGCTGAAATAAAAATGGTATAATAAAGGATTTTAAGCAGTTTAAATGTGATAATAATTACTCGTGAAAATTTTAGGCATTTCTGACAAAAAAACTGGTATTAAAAAGTGAAATTATATATTAAAAGAGTGAACCCCGTTGAAACATCGATATTGATAAAAACGTATTCGCCTGATGTGGCCATACCCAAATCGTATGCAGCCAGCATAATTTCTCGAACTGTGTCCGGCGAAGCACACAGAATTATCACTAAAAATTGAATAAACTCTCTTTGAAGTTAGATAAATTACAAGCTAAAAAGTTTTATTTTGCAACTGATTTTATTAAATAACTAATTTTTGCATTACTTTCATGTATAAATCCGTTCGTTGTAATTTCTTTTTGTAAGAAATGATAAGGAAACATTGGTTAAGTAAAAAGTGGTAGATGTGATGTACAAACATGTCAGTACTTCTTCAGTTTGAAAATCAGATAATTTCATATTTTGTTACATTTTTGTATGAGGAATGAATAAATAAATCTTCAAGTAATATGTTTTTGCTTAGAGAGTAAATTTGAACATTTAAAACAAATGACAGATTTTGAATGAAATTGTACAAGTTGATTTAAATATAAAAATCCGTTTGGAGAGGATGCCCAGAGAAGGCTAGCCCTTGTGTCGTTGCCTGTAGAGCCAAGAAGTCTTAAAGAAGCGAAAAGATACTTCTAAAAATTTTTTTGTGAATTCTTATAGACCATAAGGACAATGCTCACGTAGCCTTTGTTGCAGTGCTTCTAAGTCATATTATTAATGTATTTTTCACCAAGCATACAAATAAACAGATCAATATTTGATGAAAGTTTAGAGATAAGTGAATGATAAATTGAATAAGATCTAGATAATTTAATAATATAAAGTCATATTAATTCAAAATCTCAAAAACTCTTAAGCGTTGTTTCTGTCATTCCACCAGAATTTTTCATTCTCTCATTATTAACCATTCATTTTCACTGAATTCACAAAAAAATTTTTGGGGAAATTAATAATACTCAAACCTAAAAAATATTTATTTCAAAAAAAATGACATGACTGCTGTGTGAAATTCAAAAATACAAATAGGCAAAAAGTAAAAAAATTAGAGTAAAATCGAACATTTCTTTTTTTCAGAAAAATATAAAATATAATTTACGCGGATCTTACAAGATATTGAAAATATACTTTTATAAAATTAAGCATTTCCACAACAATTTAAGTGCTTTCATGACTAATGCCTTAAACTAATACAATAAATACTTAAAATAATAATATTCTGAATATATTCATGGTACTTTGCAGATTTTTCTAGATGCAGTGCAACATTTATTATTAAGGTCATGATAAAATAGTGATAAAATGGTGATAAAAATAGTGATAAATGACATTTCCAACTTTATTATTGGTATGAGAAATGTTACTGTGAGGAGCATAATTATTGAAAAGATGATGCCGAGTACAATGCTTATTATCAGTGCTATAATTAACCTCAGATTAATTATTGCAATTATAATAAGAATACAGTAGCCGATATTTAAATAATGCTAGCGTCCTCTGCGTGCGATCATAAATAATTAAAACTACAATAGTACTGATTAAATGAGAATGAAAATACCTTCAGAATGATGCTATTATCAAAATATTACAAAATAATAAACCAGAGTATAAATTCTGAAAGACGAAATAATACTTGCCATTTGTTTGTATTGAAATTTTTTTGAGCATAAAGCGCATTTGCAATTGCTTTGTTTCATGCTCATTGAACATTTGAACTGTCCAACTAATTATTGGTCGATGATTGAAATTATTTTTGATAGCATTTAAAGAGAAAAAACATTCTGATCGACCTACTACTCGTTGTCCGTTAATTTGATCATGAAAGAAGAATCCAACTTTATTCCATGTGAAATGATTCATTAATTTTCTTGATAAATGTCCTAACGTTTTATATGTACCCATTAAACGCGTTAACAATGGAAATTCTTGCTTATCTCCTAATTCATCTACCAAAGCCGAAGTACTGAATACTGGAACACCAGCATACCAAAACTGTGATATGCGTGCTAATGGTGCTAAAGCATAAACATAACTTAAACCCATTATAGCATCTACACTATGTTCACAATATCGTTCAATAATACGCTGTGGACCAGTTGCATCACTTAAATTAGTATTTACGTAAGTAATGCGTAAACTTCCTGGTGATAAAAGTTGACGAGAATAATAAACATCTTCGATGGCTACATCGAATACTGGCTGACTTTTAGCAATGCTTAACTTGTACGGATTCTTGAGTATGTTATCATCTGATAAAGGTAAGCCAACAACAATATCAATCGGTAGATTCAATGGATGCTTCATTTGAGCTAATTTGAAAAATTGACTTCCATCTTGTTCTTGAAACTCTTCTGATGCAATTTCCAAAGATTTATCAAGTAATGAAATTGTAAATAAAAGTAATATATATTGTAGCAATATAATGACTAAAAAATACATGAAGTCAGAATATATTTAGCACTTGGAATCATTGTCAGTAATTTATTATAGAAAATTTTTGCAGTTTGAAAACTGAAAACCTGTACTTTGCAACAAATTAAATCATGAATAAGAGTTATAAAAAAAGTCTTAGGAACACTGCAAAAGCAAATGAATTTCAAGAAAGCATAAATGATAAATGAGAAGATTCTCAAGCAAGAATGCAGCATTTTCTTCTGAATTATAAAGAAGGAAAAAAGTTGACAAAATTCTTCACATGAATATAATAGACGTACTTAATAACAAAATAGCCATATTTCAAGACTTCCATTGGGAAAACTATAACTGCCATTTTTAATATTATTAATGTTTGAGCCAAACAACATTTATTCATTTCTTTTTTTGCATTTTGCAAGTACTATTAATTTCTTGGATGATTCTTGTCTGACAATTTTGATTGCGAGATGTCTTTACAAAGTTGAGTTAAATATGTGAAAAAATTACTTGACCATACTTCTCATACTTCCATGGTTTCGCTGCCATCAACAATGTAGAAAAAAGCACAATTCGCCAGGCAATAATTTACTTTCACTCTGCAATATTTTATTCAGACACACAATAATACTTTTTACTTTGTATTCCTCAAAGGGCTATTAAAACTAGAAAATCGAAGTATTGAGAAGCTATTTGCATCCAAAATATATCCACAAAGTTTTAATGACAATGAAATTAGAATGAAAACAGTAAAGTAACAAGAGCATATGGATTGATAATGAATACCAAACTGCTCAATTAGCAATGAAATTTAGATAAGTTTAAACAAAACTGATTAACTGAGCTCTAGCTGAAATAATGTAAAAAGGAGACTGGTTAAAAAAGTTGTGGCGAGTGGCAATGAAGCTAAAATAACAATAACAATAGCAATAATAATAATGATAATATTAATAATAATAATAATAATAATAATAATAGTAATAACAGACAAGTACGAAGTCGTTAAAAGTTATATATATATGTCTTTAATGTAAATCTTACAGTGTTTACAGAAATGATTTAAATTTTTTGATTTGCTAAACTTTGAAGTTAAACTTTTTAATTCCAATAATTTATTTCTTCCAATCGATCAAAAATTTACATTGTTTTATAAATGGAACAAAAATGTGCATGGGATTTTTCGTCGTAAATAATGATGCACAAATGCCATTTAAGCATAATATAAAGTCATAAAGATTTAAGCAGTCACACTGCTCCTACTTTACTCCATTTATTTACTGATTCAGTAAGTGATTCTTGCATTAATGTAATTAAAAACCAGGCATTGATTCCTGTGCTTGGTGCTATTCAGTACCTAATATCTACACTTTCTCAAATTTAGCAATTGAACAGTGACCTAATTGGAGTAAAAAGTTAAAATAAAAAAGTATGGTTTTGTTCGAATTAATTAATAAAATATGCTTTAATTATGCTTATTAAAAGTAATAAATATCAACCTGATTTATTACTTTCATTAATTGAAATTTAGAAAAAATGATACTGAAGAAAAAATGATAGAAAAATAAATAAATAAAAAATAAACAATTAATCATTTTGATTATTATCATTTTTTAATCATTTCTGATAATCATTATCATTTTTATCATTCCGTGATACAAAATGATTTAGAAAAATGATACTAAAGCAATTACTAGTGAATAATTTAATAACGACAGTAAAAGTTATTTTGTGTTTTTTCAATTTCGATTGATTACTACTTGCCATATTTGTATGGCATTTATTCATTCTATTCATTCTCTTGCAAGCAAATTATCAACAAACTTTCTTCCCATCAAATCCTTTCATTAACATTTCAAATTATTTAATTAATATGCTTGCTGCTATAACAACTTCATTTTCAGTAACATTTACTTTTTGAATAAATGAAATAAATCCAAAAGCAAATTTTTAAAGTTACTTTTATATTGTCACACTTCCATGCATAAATAATGATATGGATTCAGCACATCGTAAACAAAATTAAATACCAAGCAATAAGTCTCTGAATGGAGTAATTTGAAATTCAAATTCATTCCATGTCAAATGCTTGACATGATAGTTTTGCTGAATAAAATTATTCATGCTTACTTTCAGCTAGCAAAAAAATTCTTACTAATTAATAATTGTAATAAGATAGTAATTAAATTTTCAGCTGTGATGACAAATAATTCTTTGCAGAAGATAAAATGTCAAAGTGTTAGGCAAGTCAAATCTAAAAAAATTTTAGCACAATGAATACTTTCTTTACTTTCACTGTTTAAGTTTCTGAATGAATAAAAAGTGCATAAGAGGCAAACAGACTTCACAAATGTAACTAAAAGTAAAATACAGTCAACCTAAGTTAAATCTTAACTTTTAAATTGCAAATCTTTCAAGAAAAAATAAATCTTTCATTTGCACACAAATGTGAAGAAAATAAGCAATTACTAACTATTCTGTTCTCAAATAAAAAATTATTCAATTAATTTTATTAATTGTAGTTTGAAGTAAAAATACTTCAAATTAAAAAGATTAATAAAAAATGAATTTGAAAAAAATAAAGATAAACTGAAAAAAAGCAATTTTACTTATCTTTTAAAATTGAATTTTTCTGAAAGTTTTTGCTTTCAAACTTTTTGCTCACACAAACCTTACAATCAAATACAAATATAATAAATTTTGCTTACATTGAAAATTATTAAAGTTGGAAACAAATGCTTTCAAGCATTACTCAAGTGAGTATCTTAAATTCATTGCAACTAATTGAAAAAATAAATAAATAATATAGAATACAATATGCATACTTTTCAACTTACTACTTTGTATTACAAAATTAAGTGTATTTACGTGAAAGTCAATTTACAGAGTCATATTTACTTCAAAAGAAGAGCGAATCTGAAGATGTAAATGCGTGATACACAAAGAAATAATAATTCTTGTGCATTTGACAACAAAGTTCTAATCATCAAATAAACTGCTTACTCTCTAAGTATTATTCAAACAAAAATTCAAAAGAATAATTGAAAACAGAAAACGAATAGCATTACATTTCGAAAATAGAAAGAAAAAATAATTGGTGAGAACATTTTTTTTCTTTCAGTAATCGTCCGTCCATTACAGTCTTATTGAAATGTTCAAAGTATACACTTTAGTAAATAACTTCAGCATTGTAAAAGCAATTTGCCAAGACTCCATTACACGCAGCAAACTAAATTTGGAAAACAGATAAAAATTAATTACCACAACAAATTCTTATAGTGCAAAAAAAAGGAATTTTATCATAGCTTTCATTTGAAAAAGAATTAGTAACCGAATCGATAGAAAAATGTGATATTAAAAAGTATAATACCGAAAGTTTATCCAAGAATGACAGTAATAGTAAACTCAGTAATAGTAAGCATAGACTAATCTTTAAGATCAACTATATAGAATAACTATGCTTCAACTTTTTAATAATTTTCTTTATTAAAATTGGTAGTTCTATCAGTCAATTTTTTTAAAGCAATTATCTGACTACAAGTATATTCCTTCTGAACTTTAGCATTTTCTCTTTGATTAAGTTATTTATTATTATTTGCTAATCATATCAATTCAATCCTAGCTGTATCAAATAATATTCATTCGTACTGTTCACTAACTTTATATTTCAAATATTTTCCATAAAATGGAGAGAAAGTACGCTCAGAGAATGAAATATGAAGAAAAAATAATTGGAAAAACGCACCATTTGCAAGTTCAGAAACAATTTTGAGCCAACTTTCAATTTCTCCCGCTTTCCTTTCAATTTCCTCATCGAATGCCAAAGATGGTGTTTGAATCTTCCATGATTCCTTGAAATAAGCACTTTTTTCAGTAAAAAAGTTCTTGATCGCATAAAGTGTAAAATAGCAATGGCTGGAGACACTTTCTACAACCATTACTTCGCCATCAGCTAGCCGAGGGCGATTCACAGCTCGGCGTTTGTCATGATACATCAGAACCAAATTTTGGTATCCTAAAGACAAATATGATTCCTGAATGGGTAATCGATCACTTGAATTTACGCCTGAAAATTTATTGGCCTTCGATTGTCCCTTAGTCTTATTTCTTGATGGAACTTCGATAAATTCTTCCCGATATGCGATTAATTTGTATACACTATCTGCCATTTGTCGATAACTGCCTTGCATTCTAGTAAGAAATGGATATGTTTGTCGATCACCAAGCATTGATACCATTCCAGCAGTAGTAATCACTGGTACACCATGGCCGAAAGCTGCAGAAATCTTTGAAGTAGTTGCTAAGCTATAGCTATCAGCAAATCCTAAGATTACGTCTAGCCGATGCGAACAATAAGCGGTGACAACTCCAAGTGTAGCAAAACGCTCAGCTAAATTTGCATTTTCTGCAAATCTCGAATCGTGATATGTGAAATTCAAAAAGTTTGCACCAATTTTACCAGATCTAATAGCATCCATTACACTTATATCAATGACTGGCCGTGCTTTAAGCATTGTGATTCCGAATTTGTCATTATTTGATTCTTTTTGAGGCATTACAACCAATACATTAAATGGCAAATTGTGACCGCGGTAAGTAACTTGTTCTACTTCATTTGCAGTGATTACTTCCGCAACTACCAATCGTACAAAGTCACCAGAGAAAATGATACCGGAAAATATTAGTATAGAAATAGCAGCTGTTGACTTTATGCTTACAAACTGACTTTTAAAAAAAGGTGAAAAGTCGGTAATTTCGACAAAAATCCCGACTACTAATAGTAATAATGATGACATTTGTAACAACAAGTCGAGCTGCAGCATTTTTAGACATTCGGTTTTTTAATCAGTATTTAGTAATGATAATAACTGATGTTATCAGGCAATCGGTTTTATGATGGCAGTGAAGTACAAAACTGACCAACCATACAATATGAATAAATGGTTCAAGTGTAGACCAAATCACTCATAATAAATTGTAGAAAATAGCTTCCTTAGCAATTTTGAGTAATATTTTCGTTTTCTCCAATGATTGTAGAAAGAATAAGAAGAAAAGAATTTATATCTTTCAAAGGCTCAAACAAATCAATGATAATCACTGGTACAATTTTCGCTGGAATAGAAAGCAAACAGCTATGAAAAAGGATCGCTTCAGAAGTAAAGAATCCATGAAGATTCGAATACTCCAAATGACAAAGAACTTTGTTTTTCAACATGACAAGAACAACAGTAATGATGATAACGGCAATAATTAATAACAATGATAATTATGATAGAAGTAAAAGGTTTTCTTTGTTTTATTGTGTCGTATGAAGATAAAATGACAAAATGATGATAATCTTTAGTAACCTGAAAATTAATGCTACATATCATATAGTAATTCATGTATACAGAATCCCACTTTTTATTTTTTTTCGCATACACAGCACAAAATTGTGTATATTAAGGAGAACAAGGAAAGGATGGATAATAATCAGATGAAACGCGATTTATTTCGAATACTTGTTTTAAAGTAAAACTGAGAGCTAATAAGTAATTAGAAAATGAAATAACGATAGAAAATTTGACTACAATTTGCGTTAATTTAAATCATCAATCATTTTAATGACTGCGTTCATAACAACTTTACATACTTATTATCAGTGTTTTGATTAAAAAATAATTCCTTATACTAAAACTTTGATTTATAAACTATTTTAGTGCATTACAAGTAAGATAATATTTGTAATACTGACAGTACATACATGCCTTCAAACTACTGCATGCTTTGATTTAATTATATATGCATCCAAGAAACAGCCACTCATACACATACACACGAATACACACACACATACATACACACGAAATGCCTCTGATATTATCATTATTTATACTGACAAAATGTTAAAGATTCTCAAATGGTATTTCGAGAATCTTAAATAATAATTTTCCGAAACTACTTATTATACGAGTCTTACGCTGTTAGCTCCTACTTGTAATGCACAAACTTACAAAAACTTGTCATAGTACCAGTGCTTTTCAGTATAAAAAATATAGATAATAAGTGATCAGTTGCAATATTAGGATACTGCGTGAGTACGTGATCAAGCTATTCACAAGCATTATGTTTATGCGAATGCATTCTAAGTCTGCAATGCTTCTCATTTCAAAGCTTTCTTAATTTGAGTTTGAGCAATTGACATAACTTCTACTGAAAAAAAAGTCAGACTATCTCAATTTCAATTATATTTAGTTTAAAGCTAAACAGCCAAATATGCTACAAGTTCATTAAATTCACAAACTCTACAACACAAATAAACGTACTTAAATTGTGCGTTTTGCTAAAAGCATTTGGCATTTGAATAACACCTCTCTTCAAGATTAGCTTTGGTGCCTTTCCATCAATTTTAAATACATAAGTAAGCAAGTAGCCATGCAGATGCTAGCACATTGCATTCATTATTACTTTACGATGTAATGTACTCAGTATTAGAAAATACTAGTGATTTTCATACTGAATAATGCATTTAAATTTTTAGTTGATTAACATATAATAACAATAATAATAATAACAATAATAATAATAATGATAATAACAATAGTAATAAAACATATTGCTAACCAAATCGCAAATCAAAACTGCGACGTAGTCAATCGCAAACAGTGTGAAATTGTTATAAGAAGCAACAAAGCATATTCATATTGCAAACAGAGAAATGCGTGAATATTGATCTCGAGGGAAAAAAAAGTACTCGTTGTTAAACAACGCAACTTTCTGTCTAACTTCTGCCTCGTATCTTCTCAAGTAGGTCTCTCCATTTTTCACCCATTTCTTCGTTTATAATCGTTCAAAAATTTTTACAAGAAGAACCAGTGAATTAATTGTTCGCAAATAGCAAAATTAAAATAAAAAATTGTTTACGCTCTAAGTAAGCAACTATGTGCACACGTCAATACAATACAAAAAGCACTTATCTTCCAGTAACATTTACGTCTACTTTGACTGTTTTTTTCAAACTACATTCACGTGTACTTTTACTGCTTTTTTTTTCAAACTACACTTACGCAATTAATTGGCATAATCAAAATATAAGAGTCATGCAAGAAAGCACTTATTACTTGCTAAGTATGTAGACTTGTTGCGTAACAATTTACTACTATGTGTGTTGCATCAAAATTTGAAAAAAAAAGGAAAGGGAATCTACATGGCTGTTGTTACTAATATGTTATTTATAGCTTTCAAGAAATATAAGACTGCAAATCGATAACAGCTTTAATATTTACTATCACAACGATTAGAACGAAAGAGTAAGTCTCAAACAACCAAAAGTGATATTAATGGAAGTTAATGCAAACTAAAAGTTATTTATATTCAATTAATACAATGTAAATTGTGAAAGTTTAGTAATTAAATAAATAGTTTTGTAATGATTGACGAAAATGAAAAAAGAAAGTTGCTAAAACGATTCAAAAGCAATCGATGGTTAGATCATTTGATGAAGTGAAAGACAGACGAGAGCAAGAAAGAATGAATGAGTGAAAGAATGAATGAATAAATAAATAAATAAATAAGTAATTAAATAAATACATGAATAAATGGATGAATGAATGAATGAGTGAATGAATGAATGAATGAGTGAATGAATGAATGAATGAATGAGTGAATGAATGAGTGAATGAATGAATGAATGAATGAATGAATGAAATCGTTTAGCTGCTAGTAGCTCTGGTGGAGAAAGTAACGGCTGCCAGCTTGTCTGTTGTCAGCCTGCGGAATAATCAAATAATCATTTGTTATTTTCACTTAACTGTTTTGTTTATACTCTATATATCTTCCTGACACGCCTTAATGATGTCATGTACAACAATTGTTATCAGTTCCTATTTATCAGTCTATCTATCAAGTTCGAGCAACATTTTGTGTGACTATTTTTGAATTAGTCAGTCTGCTTTGTTTATGAAGCATTCATTCATTTTCAAGCAGCACTATCATCGAGCGTAAGCGAAATGATGCCAGCGTGCGCAATTTAAGCAAACCATTATTCCTTATTTTAGAATTAATAGTGCACGAGGAAAGCAAGGAAAAATGCCAACAAAAGTGCTTCAATTGATCTCTAATATTCATTCATTCAATCATCGCTTCATTTTAAAAAATTGACAGAGTTGACGGAGAAATTATACATTTTATCAATTTACTATCTATAATAGCATGAATGGATGAATGAATGATCTATAAGCTAAGATAGATAGACACACGTACGCTACGCTACACACGTACGCTGTAATGATTTAGTTTAAAGTTTTGTGAAAACCAATAAAAGTGATTAGGATTGTTTCGAGATAAAATTTTTGAAATTTCAGTAACTTACTCAGTTTTTAACTGATCTTTATATGCTCACTGATAATATTATTGATAATTAACCATTAATTATTACAGGGAGATTGGCTGTTATAGTTTGTTCAGAATATCTTGTTGAGAATATGCTATAATCGTAGAGATTTATCTTTTAATAAAACATTCATTAATTTAAAATGCTTGCAGACAAAGTGTGATATAAATAACTGCAAAGTGATCTTTACTTATTTATTTCAATGAAAAATTTATGAGAAATCTATTTCAGCATTAATTATAAATACTTGTTAAGTGCAATCAGTCATTATAATTTTCGTCAGTCAATTTATCTCACACATTCAAATTAATATTAGCTTTTATACAATATTGCTTGTTGTATTGTTTAGCAAAGTAAAGTGTACGTACGTATATACAATGCTTTAACGATAAATGAGAAAGATAGAAAGACCTATTTTCATTACTTTTTTAGCACTTAATTATCTTCATAAAAACCAGTCTACAATATTCAAACTTTTCAAAAATCTATTAGTTTCTTTGCTGGTTATTTCAATTTTTAAAAATGAATACAAAATAAAAATACATTTATTTATCTCTTAGCAATTTTTAACTTTTAAAAAATTGCATGCGAAAAGCAATAAGTTGTGTGCATCACTGAATATTAAGATGAAAAGTTTCAGGTATCACAACTACATGTTATGCATCAAAGTGATATTATAAATATGTAAGCTAAAGGCAGTTGAAAAATTTCTCTCTGTTTTATTTATTTGTTTAAAATGTTAACATTTATTAATGCAAAGAATAGAAAAATGATAAAATAACGCAGCAACAAATGTTGTTGAAAGTGATGCTATAAAGATTATTACTTTTAGCATGACAAATTATTGAATAATTTTATACATTTTCAAAAATTTATATTAATATTTAGTGAAAGAAAAGAACAGTTGAATTTTTTGCTAGAAACACTAAAAGTAGAGCAAAAAAAATAGAACTAAACTAATATTATGAGAAAAATTAGCAGAAAGTTTTATTTCTAAAAAATACACGCAAAAAGATTTTTTAAGCGTTTAGATTATAAATAGACGAAATAAAATCAAGGAGGAAATCAAATCTGTCATAAGTGATTTAACTTTTATTTACTTCTATACTTTTATTTCTTGCATTATTCTTACTTTCTTCAATAGCATATATTAATATTTAGTGAAAGAAAAGAAACTGAAGAAGCATGCAGAAAATAAGTAAGCATTGGACAAAATAACGAAGAAGCGTGTTTTTAGAATGATTGATTCGCTGTTAGCTGTTTAGTTTCTTAACGAGCAAAAGAAAAAAAAATTGTAATCAACTTTACAGTATTCGATGTGGTATATCTATGATACTCTGAGTTAGTTAAGCAGCTAGTAGAAAGCTTGTTGCTGCAATTTTTAATCTTATGTCATTGCTTAGACTAAATCACAACAAATTTAATAACTGTAAAATGTCTATTCTAAAATTGGATCTTTAAAAAATCAAATTTTTTATTTTTCACTGAAAAAAAAATCGTACTTTCAGAATATGAGCACGTGTTTTGTTTTTGGTAATGAAAATGTTGAATCACACAATGTTGCACGCAATTGATTGCACTAATAGTGAAAAAAAAAGTGAACTTAACTAAACTGCAAGACTGGAAATGTGTTTAACAATATCATAATTAACTAATTAAATAATGAAAATGAGTATAGTAGTAAATATTTTTGAAAGTGGAATAATTTGGCGAAGAAATGATAAGAGGATGTATGAGAGGAAGATGGTAGAACAATTTTTATCATTACATCTGATAGAAAAACGACTGAAGTGATGGTCATGTTTGTTGTTCAATGTCTGCGCTGTTTCACTGTGTTATGTAACGATTTATGAAAAATTTTATTGATACTGCTGAGGTAGACGAAAAATTAGTTCAGGCAAGTATGATAATTTAAATAAAATATATATCAATAAAGATAGTAATTTGAAATGATAAAAGAATCCTGAAACTAATTTTCATACTTGCCTGAACTAATTTTCATACTTTTTATTATCATCTTTACATATTGTTTATAAAAAATAATTGTGGAGATTTAAAATTTAAATTAAAACAAGCGTTTATTCAAACTAAAATAAGCATTTATTTATATATTTTTTGAATAAAAGTTGCAAAAAATTGAACAGTGTTAAGAGCAATCAAGCAAATTGAGTATCCTCTTCATTTTAAGAAGAAACTAACATCGATGAATGAAATGCAATGCATAAGTTTACGAAGGCAGATAGATGATGAGTCCAAAATTGCTGGCAATATAGAATGGCAAGACTTCCTGCAAGAAGACATTTGCAAAACAAATACTTCTTTATAACTTTTCAGTAATGTTTTGATTTTAAAATGACTGATACTGTAATGGTTTAAAGAATGATTAAGTTTCTGTTGCATAACAGACTAAGTATGTTTAACTCTAATATATTACTAGTATCCTTCATTACTGGTTACATTTATATCAGTATCATTTTTTTGTTTTTGTTTTTTAACTTTTCAAAAAAGTAAATGTATTGCATTTGCATTTGCAACAATATAAAAATACTGAGCAAATTTTTAGTGCAAAATATTTTTTGCAAAAAATGTGCAAATATTTTTTGAAAATAATTTTCATATTCTACGTGTAAAAATGTAAAATTTAAAAAAGTTTTTTTGAGTGAAAAAAATAAAAAGTGTTACTTACTGATTTTGAAATCAATGTTTTATTTGGAATGTATGTATGTGCTAGTTTTGTTATAAATTAGCTTCAGAGATTACTACTTTACTTTAGTTATCTGTTATCACTCCATCGCACAATTAATTATTTTCATACATTTTTACATTTATTTAATCAAACTAATTTACATCTCATAAAATTATTATGTCTAAAATTTTCGAAAATTAAGATTAGTTCTAAGCTTGATGATTTATTTTTCAGGAGAAAAAATGCAAATTAAAGAAAGTAGAATCTGAGCAAATTTATTTATGATTTATAGAACGCTTTAAATTTTAGTTAAGGAGACGAAAGCACAAATTTGTGGATTGATTACTTTTGCTTTTGCAACTTTTAGTGCTTAGCTTTGATAGTGTTTATTTTTTGTAGATAGCATCAGTTGTCTAATTAGTTGATTGATGTAAGAAATTATTATTCTAGCAGATATATACGTTCTTATGAAGTCAAAATTGATTAGCAAAAAGTAAAATAATGACCTAAAATATTCTTCTGTGCTTTCTGCTAAATAACATTTAACTTTCTCAGTATAAAATCACTGCGAAAAATTTGTGCTAAATTTAAAGAAAAAAGACGCGAATATTTTGTGAAATTATTGTAAAAGCAAAAGTTTTTAGAGTGAACAAAATATTTTTTTGGAATAATGCAAGTGCTGTATGCAAGCAAATAATTTTAACTATCCAGTGCTTATTATGTCAACGTTAATAATGTTGCCTGACGGAGATAAAAGCCATCAAAAGCGAATGTAAGCCTGGCAGAAATGAGATTCTGTTTTCATATTTAAATAATGAGTTCTAAGTATGGGAAAATGCATCATGATAAAGGATTTTAAAAAATCGTTGTAAAATAAAAAAAATATGCAAGTTAAAAATGAAAATAAGTTGTCAAATAATACATTTGAAATATTATATTTGCAAATTCAAAAATACTCATTACTTTTTTTTAAAACCATTTTTTATTGCATTGAATTGAATTGAAGTGAATTGAAAATATAATGATAAAAATTAACCGTTGCATAAATCACTTGCTTTCTTGAGAATTTTTTGCATCTGAAATCGGTCCACTTTAAGTTCATTGAACATGAAATAATTGTGATCCATTTTATATCTATTGTATTGTTGCATTTGAATAGATGCCATTTTTAGATAGCATTTACCATATGGTATATTAACATTAGCACTACCATGTCGTTGTTCATGGAATATATATGCAACTTTAAGCCATTTCATTTGGTCAAAAACCATAAGAATTGCTTTTGTGAGTACCTTATATGGACTAGTAATTCGAGTAAGTAATTTATATTCATGACGATTGTCTAAATTACTAGTTAAGCCAATAGTAGTAATTACTGGAATACCATTGTTAGTTGTACTCTTCCAATATGGTGACATTCGAGCAACAGGTGCCAAAGCATATACAAAAGCATATCCAATAATACAGTCTAATTTACCAGCTACAAGTTGATTTATGGCAACATTAGGACCGTGAGCATCTGATAACTGAGTATCTTTAAAGTATGCAACTAATGTATGCTCAGCAATTAATTTATCTCGATATACATCTTCCAGAGCTATTTCTACTACTGGTACAACTAAATCCATTGTAATACCAAATGGGTTTTTCGTTGGTTCGCCAAGCTTCACAGGTACCGGAAATAAAATATGCATTTTATTTTGTGTTGAAGAATGAGAAGCTAGAGGATTCAGATGATGTGTGAATCTTTTAAAAAATCGACGATTCTGCAAATGATGTCGATGGTGCTGAATATTTCCAGATTTCAAAGTTATCTTAGTTTGAATAAAATTCGGATAATATGTAAATATGATCGGCAATAAGTAAAATATTAGTAGATGTTTAATAGATTTGGTCATATTCATTCCATAGCCATTTTTTGGAATTATAACTGGTATAGATCAAGCATGACAATGCTGATTTTGCATAATTTAGTACAGTCACTGTTTTTCTGAGCAAACACTAGTCTGATCTGTCTTAAATTCATTGCAGTATCTGAAAGTTTAATTATCCAAAATATTATAAAACTTGTATTTTCTTATTGAAATGATTGAAGGAGCGTTGCTTAGTGAAATAATATTAAAAGCGTAAATTCTATGCAAATCATTTGAAATTCGCTGCATGTGAAATGAGATAAATGGCTTTCTTTTATATGCAAAAAATAGGTCTAAGCAATAATACGATTTTAAAAAGAATTTATTTTAATGAATAAATCAAACAAACTTACTCCATTAAATCATGTAAACTTTTAAATATCAATTCAAATGCAAAGAATTTTTTTAAAGAAATAAAATTGTGGCAAAATAAATTTTGATAAAATATGAATAAAGTGGAACAATCAAAATCTATTTTTATTACTCCAAAAATCTTGCAATTTGAAACAAATTTCATTCAACCGTTACTGCTTTGAATTAATTCAACGCGCCTAAAATTCATAACAATTTTATTTTCATTGTAATTCATCTGATTTCATTTCAATCCATTATTTAAATTTGTCTAGCGTATGAACCTTTATGGTAAATGTCAAATAGAATACAGTACTGTATCAATAAAATATAATGTTGAATGTAAAAGTATGGTAGATGTTAGACAAAATACATTACTATGAAATATGATGTTCAGTGTAAAAAAAAAGCATGCAGGAAAGAAAATCAAACACATTTTTCAAAATAAATTAACGCATGTAAAATATATAAAATGAATTTATTTACGTAAGCGCAAAATGCATAAAATCCATTTCAGAAACTTTTTAAAAGCCAGAAGATAAATATCACAATTTTAGTATTTAATAATTACAAATGTTTGAATATTTAAGTTACTTCTGGCAATTGTAACTGCAATTATATCACAATAACTTAAGTAGTGCTATTGTAAGGTCTATTATTCTAAATTGTAAAAATATATTCATTACAAGTAACACTGAAAATGGTGAAGGCAGTAAGTTTTCGAGTACAGAAAATATTTTGAATGACAACAAAAGCAAAATTAATAACTTTTGGAAAATGAATTCAATTACAGCTTCGAATGGGAAAACAGACATTGAAAATATTTTTTTGAAAATCTGTTGGCTTTTCAGAATACAACAAAAAATATAAAAATACACCCAAATAAGGAAAGTATAAGTTGAAAAGACGTAACCTAACATCTAAAAAAGTATTGGGATGGAACATCACAATCACTACAAATGGATTCAGTCACCTGATGAACTTACTTCAATTCAATCTTTTTATTAAAGTGAGTGGAATCAGAGTCAGTATACTTATCTAAATTAAAAATATTATCTCTGACAAGTTTTCTATCTAAAAATAATTTGATTATTAATTTTTGACAAGAGCAGAAACTTTTAAAAGAAATTATTACTTACTTTTTAATTGTCATCAGTTTTGAAGTTTTGCTAATTTAGTCTAATTTGGACAAAAGTGATCATTTTTTAAACGGTTTAAATGATTTTAGAGTTTCGAATTTTAATAAGCAAATAAAAAAATATGTATTCAAAATTTTTATTAGCTTTATACATTTTGATGAGACAAAATTTTAAGTTAGAATTATAAATAGAAATTCAAAATGGCAGTAAATTTGAAAACAAACTTTAGCACTGTGATAAATAAATTTTGGATAAATTCGTTCAACAAGCTAATTTTTAGAATGAAAGTGTTTGCTTCATAAAAATGCTGTGAGAATATTAACAAATTTCAAGTAAATATTTCGAGTACTTAAAAACAAAGTATCCTTTTAATTAAATTAGTCAGCTTACATAATATAAAAATTATGCTCGAGATACTTCAATGGAATGCCTATGTATATGCTTAAATCAAATGACAGTATGATTTTTACCGTTTTGCTAAAAATGGAATATTAGCAAGTATTCACTACAAAATATTAAAATTATCGTAGTGATGACAACTTTGAGGATAACATATTAGACTACATTACTTCTATTAGCTTCAGAAAAATACTAAAAATTTTAGTATTTATATATCAACTGCAAACTAATCTTTTTATACTTTTCATTAGTCTAATGCAATACTCATTTCAGCAATTACATCTAAAAGATGAAAATGCACATCACATGTCAAAGAACTTCAAAAACACAATATATATGTAAATTATTTATTCAAAAAGTTAAAAAAAGTTAGAATTCTGCTCTAAAAATACATTTTATACATGAAGGAAAACTATAAAGTTAATTTCATTTGCCTTCACAAACATTATTAGCAAGCAAATTTTGCTTTCAGACGTTAAAAAAATCTATCAATTGCAAATTTATACTAATAATTTATAAATGAATACTTCAAAAAGTAATTAAAACAACAAAAGGAATTTTTAAAAAAGAATACAAAGTCTCGATGTGAGCTGTGAAAAGTATTAAGATTTCAACTGTGAGTAAAGAAAAGCAAAATAAATCTTGTTGGATTAACTAAATCAATTAAAATATTATAATAAGTGAAACTTATAATAAATAACGATTAAAATTTTACAAACCTTATAAACGCTAATAAATTATTTTTGAGTAATAGAATATGTACAATTTACAATTTAATTACAATTTAATACAATTTAATTAATACAATTTAATTACAATTACAAGTTTAATTTTAATTACAATTTAATGTTAATTACAATTAATACAATTTAAGTAATACAATTTAATTCAGCTAAAAATGCCAAAAGACTAAAAGAATAAGAAGTAATGAAAATGTTTAAATAAGGAAATATACGAAGTAATGGCAAGTCAGAAGAATGTAGCAAAGTTCAAGAAGTCTTAGACTAAATTGCACACACATAACAGTTGCTTAGCAAAAGATGTAATTTTAAAAAAATTAATATGACTATTTATATATATATATAACACTAAACTGGAAAGAAGAAAGATTTTGTTATAATGAAAGTCTTAATTTAGCCAATAATTGCAAATTTGAAAAAAAAATCACATTTCTTGTTGAAAAATTATTGTGCAACACAAATCATTCAGAGAATAACAGATTGAGAAAAGTTGGCATTTCCCATTAGAGCTGGAAGTCGAGATTATATCTGATGAAAACGAGAGTTACTTTCTGAAAGCTTAACAAATATTTCCTTTTAATTTTTCTCTCTGTTTTTATGAGTGACAGAGGAAAATCTTCATCATTAGTGAATAGAATTAAATTAGGCTTATAATACCGAGAAATTTAAAGCTGTTTTCAATTACTCAGAGGATTTTTTATCGCTTGATACAATCATTTTAAACCATATTAAGAAAACCATGAATAAATCAATGTAAAAATTTTTATGATAATTTTGCCTATAAAGTATTGAAAGATTATGAGCAACCAAGTTACCTGGTCACAATCGTAAACTGTTTACACTAAACACCAAGTCCAATTTGAAATTGAGAGTTTTACAAAACAAAAAATAGATTTTTTTTTACAAAAAAAGATTACATGTCAAATATATAAAAAACAAAATTTTTGCACAAAAACTATTTCTAAATGCAAAGAATCATTTTGAATTAGTTTAAACAAATGTGAACAAACATAATCTGACATATTTAAAGTGAATAATTAAACAATTTAAATTTGCTTTAAGCTGGGAAAATTGAAATTTATTTTCATTCTACAGCAATTCAGTATTCATATGACTCATATAAAAAGTAATATCATACTTTTTATGAACATTTTTTCAGATATGATTTGACGTAGTCAAGAAGTATTAGAAATATGTCTGAAGCAATAATAACTGCCGTAGTTTTATTGAAAATATTGAAAAAAGCTAAAAATAAGTAAATTTTTTGTACAAAACTTTATGCCTCAACCGAAATGTTCAAAATTTTTAGCAACTTCACATTATAAAATGCATTAAAAAATATTGAAATATAAATATTGTGCTTATACAAAAATAATAGAAGTATGAATTTATTAAATATAGATTATAAATATAAAAATAAATTTAATAATGGCAAAGCAAAGAACGATTAAAATATTGTATTTTACCACAAAATCGATCTCAAGTGCACGATAAATTAATTATCAGGTCACCTATATTTCAAATTTTCAGCTCAATGTACAAGAGATGAAACTATGCAATGAAATATATCAGAACTTAACTCTTACGAGGTAGCAACTCATTTAAAAATGACTATTTTTTACTAACAATATCTAAAAATATATTTCTGAACCTGAACGTGTCTTTCAAAAGTAATGAAACGATTGAAATCCAAATAATTCAGGAGAAGCATTTAAAGAACTTTTGAAATCAGTTTTTTTGAAAATAAATGGCGGGACTTAAATAATCACTTCATCAAACGTTTTGATTGTATCAAATAAATTTTTCATTACTTAAGTAATGTTGAAAAATAGTTCGACATGGAATTTTGGCTTTATTATTATTCATTTTATTGTCATTTTTCAATTATATTCATAATTAATAATATTACTAGTGGTAATAATTTTGCTCATAGTATTAATTATAACAGGTTTTTTTTTTCAATAATTTGTCCATTTTAAGGTTTATTTATATTTAATTAATTGACTACACTATATTGCATATCGCTATTATTTGATTTTTTCACCTGATCTCCCATGTTTGTGAACATTTACGTTTGCATTGTCACTAGAAAGGAATCATAAAGTACGAGCAGAGATTTTAGTGAAAACTGAACAATTGGCCGGATGGAAAATAACACAATTACTGCTTATATAAATACACAAATATGTAAATGAATATAAGTAATAATGGAGAAACCATAACGGAAAAGAAAATAGGGCAGTGAATCCTCCAGGGTGACAGCCCTATCCTCGCTGTTGCTTTTTTATGCATAGAACCATAAGCTCAACATGGGGTGCTCAAAGGTGGCAGTTCCTATTAATCAAGCAATACACGTAATGAAACATTTACTATTTGTTAATGATCATAAGCACTTTGCAGCTATTAAATATATGATGAAGACTATGGCTGAAGAAGCTTAAAGGAGTAGTGTTTAAGGTCAATCTTACAAAGTCAGCTAATAACACCGAGGTATGTGAGAATGCAGCAATACACTTACGAACCAAGGAGTATAAATACCTTGGAATAATGGAAGTCAGCGCTAGTACACCTACCCGAGAAAGCTACGATAAAGTCCGAGCAGAGATTTTAGTGAGTGCACTAAATGGCAAGAACCTTATCAAGGCGGTGAATGAGTACGCCATAAGTTTAAAATATTATAACATCGGGGTGCTCAACCAGAGCCAGAAGACTTCAAAGTATAAACCACGATATCAGACAGTTACTTATCAAATATGGAATTCACAAACAACCTACATGCTTGGAAAGACTGTACGTGCTAACGGACGAGCTAGGACGTGGACTTCGCCGTATTTTTGTACTTACCAGGAAGGAGGTGATTTTGAAACAAGAGAATCTCCGGAATTATCAAATATACTTATTTCCTTTGCATAACGTTCATAGGGGTTTGTTACTGTCCCATCACAAGTCAGTCACATTTTGAAATATTTTCGTTTTACATCTCAGTTCTTTTCCGAGTTTATCAACCAGTAGATCATTCTTTCGGTTTTTCTTGGTTTCACTATTCATTCACTACCTTCATAAAGTTCGCTCCATTTAGTGCATTTTTGGTTGATCGTCACTTCTCGCTAAAATCTTTCCTCGAGTTCATCTTGGCTTTCACGGGTAGGTGCAAAAGTACTGTCTTTCACTATTCTTTGAAATCCTGCTCAGAGTGCCACCTTATGAGCTCATACCTCAGTGTTAATGGTTGAATTTCTTGGATTAGTTTCTAACTCTTAAATTTCAAGAACCTCTGGATTTTTTTGCTGGGTTACAAGGAGCTAACATATCATATCACTGATAAATAGTAAGTGGTTTGTTATATGCATTCCTTGATCGGTGGTAACAGTCAACCTCTGGGTATCTTATATTAAGTCGACGGCTCAATGAGTCTATGAACGAAATAGTAGCGGAGAAAGGCTCTCAATCTGGAGAATTCTTCGCTGTATTTTTTTTTTTTGCTATTACGGTTTCTCCAAAGTACATAGCTACGTAAGGGGAAACGTGTGAAGATAGTGTTGGACCGTCTGGCAACGTAATGAGAAAAAATGTAATATCATAATTTGCTAGAAGACATAATGCGGTCCTCCATAAGACGTATAGTCTGAAAGCATGCATGTGAACCATTTTTTTCAGGAGGTCGTCGCGAATGAAAACGTGGAGATTGCAGTTGACACGCTACTAAGGTTGAAGCAGCCAAGATTAACACCATGAAAGTGAGTTACCAGAAGAGCGCGACGAGGGTGCTTCTTTAATTTTAATACTAGTCTAATAATAAAAATTCTTGCTACAACCGTTTTAAAAACGTCATTATAGAAAAAAATCAATACATAAAACAATTAATATAGAAAAATCAATACTAAAACGATCAGTATAGAAAAGTCAATACAGAAAAAAGAAACCTGATTGTGTCTAATCTAATTTCATTCAAGTTTTTCGCTTTTCCCATTACTGATGTGCTAACTTTGTTTTTCTGCCAATTATTTTTAATTTATAAAAGAACTCATCAAATTCCGAAAAAAATTAAATAACAATTTAAAATATTTAATAAATTTAACGATTTGAAATATTTTTAAAAAATTTAGCCTTTGTAGTCTATTAAATCAAGTTAAATTTTCAAATTGGCATAAATCAAAAATGCTTCTAGGTAGTATTTGTAATAGTATATTTGTTCAAACTGAATGAGTGAGTTGGGCGAGAATTTTATTATCAATCCAGAAGCAATATTCGGTTTAATCTCGCTCGTTTGGAAGCCATTAAATTGTAGGCTTTACGAAGACTTTAGCAATATATTTTGTGGGATTTGCAAGCCAAATGCTAGGAATCGAGAAACCCAGCAGTGCAATATATCACTACTCCTTTAAATTCTATATTACTGCTTCCATCTTCAAAAAAAGTCAGTTATCATTTATTCGCAATATAAACAATAATTACGTTATACTTTGCGAGATTATTCATATCGTCTAGCTGATCTTATTTAGTCAGTCTTACTTGTCATAATTGTTTCGTTGAGAGCAGTTAACGAGTTTCAGTAATGATAATGAATTTGAAATAATGACTCTCGAATCTGTACTCATATTTTTAATGTGATGTATTGCAAAAGAATAAGTTTTGTTATCATAAATATTGCTATCACTATCATTATTGTAATAACTATTGACAATTTTTGGGCACAACATTTTTCACAAACACATTATTATGATATATAGTTAGTTAGAAGACTTTGCAAATGCTTAGCAAATATATAAATCTATTTATAACTTTCAATTGCAGTATACAAGACATCAAAAAACTTTGTTGTAATACTATTATTCAGTTTTGGTGAATAATAATAATATCACAAAGTATGCAAATTGTTTTGCATTGCTGTATTTTTTTTTAATAATGAAAGAATAACTTTAAGTGCGGAATTTTTGCGCAACCAACGCAAATCAAATACTTATTCGTGTCAATAAAATAAGATAAAATAGTCATTGTTATATCCAAGCAATAGTTGCTATTGGACAATAATTAAATTTAAGAAATTACTGCCTCAAAATCTTCAAAAAGTAAAATAATTTTAAATAATTTTACAATACAAACATGAATAAACATTATGAGCAAATTGGAATCCGTATAATTTCGAAAACTATTATGCAATATTATTATATTTGCAGCAGAATCCTACATATTTTGCTTTCGTTCTTCTTCTTCTGTAATAAAACGATTATTTGGAATCTTTTTAGAGGTTAAATAAATTCAAAATTTTATCTTAATCACTTATTCAACTGACATTTAATAGCCATATTTATAAAATTTGTTACAAACCTTTTGCAGATCGTTCTTTCCATCGTGCCTTATTATCTCGCATGAATTCATTCCATGGATTTGGCACGTCTAATTTACCAGCGTGATCCAACGGTACAGAACGATATGAGTTACTTGTTCCACTCATGCTTATTTTTTGTCTGTAAGTAATAGCTGGAAGTATTATTACAGAAATTATGTTTAATTTTTAACAATTCACAATTCTATTGTTAAGATATTACATGGATTAATTACTGCGTCTGAAGATTATTGTATTTGAGACAGCTTTATAATTGAAAGGAGTATTTGATATTTCGCTGTTATAGTTTCCGATTTAATACAGTTTTTTGTTTACAGCAATAAAATAAAAATTTTGCAATATCATTTTTGTATCTACAGAAGCTATGCTTAATTTTGCTGACTGCATTTGGTATCTCCTACTTTCTTCATCTAAATAATTTTTGAACTGAAAAAACCTTGAACAAAGCTAACATACGTCTCAGATGAAGAACAGGTCTCATCAATACACGTAACTTCATTTTCAGGCGGCAAAATAGTATCTGCTGAAGATAAGGATACTAATGGTTCAACCATTTTTGTTAATAATTCACTACATATGGCCATTGTTGGTTCAACGATGAAGTCAATAAACCCTGTTTAAAAATTGACAAATCTAAATAAATCTTACAAGTTAAGATTAATGTTTTGATGACATATGCTGAAAGTATTTAATTAAATTTATTACTTCTATATCAAATAATGATGATAATGTTATGAATAATCAATTCATAAAAAGCTACGTTGTGTGGTAGTGAATTAGACATAAATATTATTAATGCTAAAAATTTTAATAAGTCATGAACTGACATCAGAAAAAAGTATAGCATACTGCTTTAAAGATAAATTAAATTCTTAATGATTAAATTTATTGTAAAAATTTTGAAACACTAACCGATCTGCGAGTCCGCAATATGTACGGTATTTCTGTCGCAAAGTGGCGAATACGGTAAGCCCATGCTTGCTTCAAGATCACCTTGACGAAAGAATTCTTCGAGAACACCTTCAGTCCATCGAGAATGCAACTGCCAAGGTTTCGACGCATGTGATATGTCACACGCGTGAACTATTAGGCAAAGCGCTTTTGTTTTATCAATGCTATAAAAATACTTTCAATTACAATTAAATTAAGTATTTAATTGAATTATTTATAAATTAAAAAAAAAGAGATTTTAACAAAAATTCAATGCTTTTATTAAAATTGACCCTAATTTTAGCGCAAATTACAGAATTACAATTATTTACCCTTCTGGCAACGACAACATATTCTTCATAGTTTTGATCTGCAAAAAATGGGTTGACATATCCGTTGCAAGTACTATTTCAATTACCATATTACGCAACTCTCTGAAACTTCAAAGAAAATACTTCTCTCAAAATCAGTTGCTATCATGGATTACATTCCGATAAATAATTATATTATAAAGTAAAAGAACTACTTATATCTAAAATCAATGATATCAAAAAAAAATTATAAATAGAATGAGATTAAATTATCAATAAAACTTTTTAAATTTTAACCTGAATTCATCTTTGGTCAATCCTTTCGTGATATTTTTATCATCGTCTTTTAATAATCGAAAACACGCACTTACGTGATGATTCTCTAACACACTTCTATCGTTGTATAGCAATGCATAATTTGAACTTGAAAATTTTTTTATCGTTATCATTTATTCACAGACATTAAATTCTTACTTTTAATCTAAGTTGCATACTTTTTCATGACAGCATTTTGAAAGTTTTTAGTAGCAAAAAAACATTTAAAAATTAAAGCGCCTAAAAACAACATTTGTTATTTTCTTATTAGTGTCACATACAGTCATTTTTTTAAATATTCTTCAATACTGACAGTAAGTAAAATAACTTATTATATAAAAATACTTTTGTAAATGACAGGTATCTTGATCGTTTGATATCTTAATCTTTTCATTTTCTTGTCGAATATTAACTTATTTTATCCTGATTTTCCCAAAAAATTTAAAACTACTGAATAGTAATTTAGTATGAAAGTATATTTTTTATTATTCCAATCCAAATCCCAATTCTTTAAGAAAGAATAAAATTTTAATAATAAAAATTAAGTAATTTTAATAGAAACTAAAATAATCAACACATTACAGCACATCATATAAAGAATACAATGGAATTTGAATAACAGAACACCAAATATTAAAACAAATCAGAATTTTATGTTTAAATTAATCGTTAATGTCTCAAAACACAGTTACTCAAAGTCAAAAACGTAATAATCTAATTCTGAATGAGCTTACCCGGATTGTATATGGAAGTTGTTTGTATGTCCAGTATGCTCATAATCATGGATCATTGCGCCAAATATTACTGCAAGTGCATCCAAATCAGTTAAACTTGTCTAAAAATTCATTTTTTATTTATTTTTTAATTATTTGAAAAAAAACATTCAGTTATTTTACTTATTTACAAATTATCAATAATTTAGATAATAATTTTGACTGATAAATTCAAGCATGGGATCAACTTACTGCTAAACCAGTTTGTGATAGCATAAAATGAGATGAAACGGTTACATCAGCGGCATGTACAATATTATGATAAGGATTATTATGAATATTGTAGCCAATTTCAAGAGCAGCAACAAAATTTTCAAGAGTTTGTTGAGGAATCTTAAATATTTTGTGTAGAGTTTGAAAATTAACACAGTAATATTTCTTGTAGAAAAACTAGAAAATATTTTAAGTGAATATGATTTTTTGTTATTTTTGATATAGTCATAACTTTATCAAGATAAAAATGAATAAAAAAAAACCTTGAAACGATCAAAGAAGTGATAACGATTAAAAATTTCCAGAGCGACATATTTTAATGCATGGCCTTCTGATACTTCGTTCAAATGAAAGCAATCAAATGACCAGCTATCCAAATCCTGTAAAAGCTATACATTATACCAAATTCTTTACAAATTCAAAGATTTGAAACAAATCTAATACCGATTTTAAAGTTATACGGGCAAAAAGTCTCAGCAATTTTTTTAAAAATTACTTCATTTTCATATTAGATACCTTTCAATAATTAAAAATTTTTAGTCTGTATTGTATAGAATTCATAAATGCTCAATCTAAATCGATTTATACAAAAAATAATTTTTTCTAATGTCAACAATTTAAAAAAAAAGCTTTGGCATAATATAAGTTACACAAAATACAATTTATATCAAATTAAATTGTATTTTTTAATTGGCCTAAAGAAATTATATTTTTTAGTTTATTTCGAAATTAAAGTTTTAGTTAGCTTAAGTGATATTTTTTATTTTGAAAAGATTCCAACCTTCAAAGATGCTCGAATTTCAGGTGGTAATGGAAATAGAGAGACTTGTGTTCTTCGGAACATCCTAAAAGCAAACAGACTAGCGAATTTTTGACAAGAGTAGAAAAACAACTTTGCATCCATGACACTGTTGCACATAAAAATGTTATTATTTAAATTAATTGAAATTGTGTTTTATCGAATTTATGCTAATAATACTTGTCGAAAAAAATTCCCGTAAGGATAGCGTTAGCAACGGATTTAAATTTTGGCTTTTCCCTTCCCGAATGTACTGCTTGTCGAGTAAAAGTTGCTGCTAGCCATTCACGCACTTCATTAGGAACCGTTTCTGGAGTCATATCCGCCAGGTCATCATCTTCATCACAGATACGTCTACAAAACTATTTATTTATTTATGAGAATTTTGACATTTATCATGACTGCCCTTAAATATTGAGGTTCATATTAAATTTAACAAATTAATTGGTGTTATATCAATATAGTTAAACAAGCCTTCAAATTTTCAAATAGAGTTTTGAAGCACACGACTTTTTACACTATTCTAATATTTAAAATAAGCTTTTTATGAATTTACACATACATTTCACAAATTTGAGGTGCAACTTGATAGAGTATTTGCGTAAAAATGACTCTCACCTTGTCTCGTCAATGTATGCTGTTTCAAGAAGCAAAGTGGCATATTCCAGATTCTTTTTAAGGTCATCTGTGGAAAGTTGCCCACTATTTAATTGATGCAATATATAACGTAATCTAAAATTTTTTAAAATAATATATTGATTATAGTATTTCAGAAGAAAATTATTTAGCTGAATAACTACTTTGATTAATAGTTCAGAAAAGTTTTCTAAAATATTTAAAATCACATAAATTACTTCTAGTTCCACAACACTTCATTTACATTACTGTGTGAATTTTCATGCTTAAACAGGTTCTTTATTTAATTACATATATTTAATAAATTTTTAATAATCTGACATAAATAATAAAAATTGCTTGCCTAAGAGTGATAGCATTTTTACCTGCATGCGTGTTTTCGAATCGAAAGTTGATGAAACCCATAAGAATCGCCAAACATTATATTTTTTATTTTTGTAAAATGTTTTAACGCTATACAAATGTATCAGTCAATCTCTTAACTCTTTACAATCACAGCAAAATTTGAATAAATAATAATGAATTATTTATGAAATTTATTACTTAGCAAATGAAAAATACGTATATATGTTGCCAGCAATTTGCTTACAATAAAATGATTTTCCTATACTCGGAAATTTTTGCACTCATTACGAGATGAAAAACTAGAAAAATAGCTCGAGCATGAAAGTATTTTAGATTTATACAGCTTATTTAAATAATCCAAAGTCCACTGACAGTCTCCATGACTACATTAACTTTTCATCTTCAATCAAAGCTTTTAAACAAATTAATATATTAGAATGAAAATATAACTTTGATGCTATAAATGTTGTGCAATAAGAAGTATGTGCGCTGAAATGCATCAAATTACTTATGCAGAAAATTAGTAAGCTATTTCAAAAGTATGCTTGTCTCAGGAAGTTTCAACCTTTGAAAATTTACACTTTTGAATGTTTAGCTAAAATTACTTTGGTAATAATTTTACCATTAATTCATAGTAAATTAATTAGCAATAACTAATTAATTCTACTGCAATATCTACTTGTTTAATAATATTGCTCATAATTTTTTGTAATCTCAATACTATCTAAAATTACATTCACTTATCAATACGGTAACTATGTTCATATGACAAATTATGTTTTCAATCTCTGCTCAACGTTTTTTTCTGATCTTATCAATCTTTGCTTCCTCACCATGTTGCTTTTATATTTATTATACACACATTCTCTCAATCTTTATCCTACAAGCTTTTCTGACTTTATCCATTCTCTATCTCTTCACTGCATTATTAATATGAGATATGACAATAAACATAAATTTATATATTTATATAACAAATTATTTTCTTCATCTTTACCTAACGAACTTTTTGACATAACTATCTATCTGCTTTTCTGTCATTACAATTAACACAAGATAATTTCTTATTCTTTACTGCGCACTCAGTTAAATCTTACTAATAGCAGAAGAAAAAAAGAACTGGAAATTAATAAATTTTTCTCGTAATAAATTAAATACTCAATAACTGCTTCTGATTTCTGAATAAGAATCAAATTGAATTCTTTTTCTTCTCGATTGCTTTGCTTCAAATTTAGTTCTTTTGGATATTTGCCCAAAACAAAATAGCTAATTGTGAAAAAATTGTTGTAAGACAAATGATATTAGCATAGATAATACTTGCTTTTCAAAGAATCATATTACTAGCAAATTTGGAATTTATCCTAGACAATTTGAAGTATTTGACGAAAATTCATCAGCAGACTTTTTTTGTTCTGTTAAGATGATTGACTGACTGAATGACTAACTGAATGACTGACTGCATTAGTGAATAAAAAGAAAGTGCTTGAACTCGTTTTAGTTTATTTACTTGCCTTCCATTCAATGACTAATTTTTTTGCAGAATCTAAACGCAGAATTTGATTGTAAACTAACAGTAATGACGTTGCTAAGTATTTTTTATCTTTCTCAGTCTTAAAATTTCCATGTCTTTATTTAAACTTTGTCAGTAATCTTCTATTAAGCTGATTGCTACAAATATTTGCCAGTACCACACGAGAAAAAGTTTGTTACTTAAAATTACTCGAAAGTAGAAGTGATGTGATGTTTTTAGAAATATATTTTCCAAAAACAAATTTTTTCAAAATTTTTATCTCATTTGACAAATATCAACTTTTTGCGCTTATAGCTTCTAGCAATGTAAGTAAATATTTCAACACAGACTAGACTAATTTCTGCTATTTTTTGAATTAAATACTTTAAATACAATTACAGTAATAAAAAAAGATGACAACTTCTGGCTGTCATTTTTATTCCTTGAATCCGATGATTAGCTCAATGAAAATTAGAACGAAAATAAACTCTTAAAGTTAAGCAAAAAAAAAAAAATTTTTATTTGTTTTACTTTCTTTTTATTTTTAAATAAGATTTTTTGATATTTGATAAAAAGCTTTTAGCAAAAATAAATACAAATGCAGTAAATTAATTAATTAATTGTAGTGCATTAGTTGTGCAAATATTTTTACAACATTATTTGCAGTTATAAAATAATTATTCACCTTTTTCTAGCACTGTTAATGTTATTAATTTTATTGATAGCTTCTACTGATTGAGATCGATCATTTGATTGTTTTTGAGAGCAAAAAGGTGAAATTGAAGTTTGTGTTTGCGTCGCAGTTGGCGTAACTTCCATTTGCGATGTTTTGCAGCGTTGACGCTTCTTTTTTTCCAAATTTAGCGAAAATTTTTGCATTAGAAAATAATTTGTGGACTTTTAAAATTTGTCAAAACAAATAACATTTGAAGTCATTTGCAGACAAACCTGAAAGTATACATTTCTGCAAAAATTTTTTAGAGTGAATTCAATTTGTTTTTGCTACAAATAATATTTCATATAATAAATGTTGCGATATTTTAATAAAACACTAACAAAATTAAAAAATTTGAACGAAAAACGAGTGATTAATTAATCTATTCAAAATTGGTATCAGTAATACAAATTTACATCTATGAAAATTTTAAAGTTATGTCTAATTGTAAAATTGAAGATTAGACTAAGTATATATCGCATTATGAAAATATGTTAGCTATTCAGTTTGAACAGCAGAAAAATCTTGAATTCTCAAAAAATATTTGAAAATTAGACAGAAAACTGACGTTTTTTTACGTCAGAACTTAAAAGAAACAATTCACAACGTTTCATCGTAATTTTCTTAGACAAAAAATTTTAGTCCAAAGTTTGATAGCTAATATTTCAATGCTATCGTTAAATTGAAGCTTGGATATAAATAAAGCAAAATACGTTAAGCATAACAATCATTATAAAATTGAGTAAATATTTTTGCCATTAAGTGTTAAAAATAAAAGCACTCATAATTTTGCTAATATCACTACAAACTGAGTTTAAATTTTGAATAAAACAATATTTTGTTTTTCTTCAAATTATGAAAAAGTTTTCAAATTCAAACTTGCAGTGTACGTAAACATAGTACCAACAGATCCAAAACAATAAAACAAGTTTAAAAACTACATAAAAATATATCAAGTCTAGTTTTCTGTGTTCTAAATTCATAATTTTTAAACATATTACTTTGATAAAATTTTAATTTGTTTAAATTTTTGCAAAATTTGTCAAATATTCAAAAAAATTCCTTACATAAAATCTTTTTGCGTCTTATATTTTATTATTTAAAGCAAAGCTTATCAAAATTAAAACTATTTGAATCTAATATCGTTTGCAATATGCTTCAAAAAACATTTAACCTTAGTTTTTAAGCAGAGATCTAAAAAAGCAATTTAAATACTTGTGCACTTGCGCACTTACATTTATTTAAACGCTAATTTCGTAGGAAACTTTTTCAGTTTTCACTTTATTGCTAAAAGAGACTTACATTAGCTATTTTAGAAATAATTTTATTTTAGAATAAGCCAATTTGATAACAAAAAGTTGTTCTTTGAAAACTTGTTGCCTGTCTTATAATGCAATCTTTCATATTATTAAATTCCAGGAGTAAACTGCGAGAGCAAATAGAAGGGAGGAAAAAAAACTCATATCCCGTGTGAATTAAGACGATGAAAAGTAGATTTAATACACATTTAGTGCGTTTTTCCAAATTTGTGAACTTGAGCAAAACTAATCAAACTTTTAGCTTAATCAAACGTCAAAACTTTTTTTAAAATAAGAATATTTTGTAGAACAATAATAATGCATTAAAAATAACACACTTTTGCTTACTTCTTATATAAAATCTATACAGAATCAAAAATTAGCATAAATTAATTTTTATCCTTGTCATGCTTAGAAGAATATAAGCAGTTGCATTTTTATTAATTCTCATCATGACTTGTTTGAAAAAGAATTATTAAAAAGCTACCAAATCAGTTCTCATCAAAAAAAAAATCTTATAAATGCAAAAATTTGATCAGAGCAAAAACATGTGAGCAATACTGAAAAATTTTTAGCACTTAGTACTTAATTTACAATATTCAAATTAATACTAAAAGAGAAACAAAACGAAATATTATTCGTTTCGTCAGTATGTACTAATATTCTCAAAAATGATTTGTAAACCAAACAGTTGCAAAGAAAGCTATAGAAATGATATTTTAATAAAATAATTTAGTACATACCGACATTGAAGTTATGTATTTTTAATTAATGAATTTAATTTTTGTTAGTTTATTTTTGCACTGACCATTTCAAGTTTACTTGAAATAAATAAAATATTTAAAAAAAAAATTTTAAGTAAGTCTGATGCATTTATTTGACAACTTCAACTTCCTTCTAACCA